GATAACTAGGGTTACTATATGGGTTATGGGGGTTATTAAACTACTTAGGTACTGCCTAAACTCAGTAATATTAGGGGTCCTAGTAAGGGCTAGATAGAACCATACTATAATTATTATCCCACTGTTACTGAGGGAGGGCAGTACCCAACATAGAGCTCATCGCAGTTGCTTACCGTTGAGGTTGTCACTACAGCGCAAGCAGCATGGATCGTAGTACAAGCTGGGAAGACAGCTGCGGACGTGGCTGCGGAAACAGCGGCGCTGACCAAAGCGCTGGCTGAGGATGCTTGGTCTGACAGCTTGCAGGATCATAGGAGGATCTGCACCGTGCTTCAGGTTTCGATGCTGTATATATATATATATATATTGGTGTTATATAGGGATAATGGAAAATAAATTGGAAACTACTGTATTATTATAGGGATTATATAGGGGTATATATGGTTTGCCGGGTCTCGGCAGACCCACAATTACCACAAAAGATCCGTCATGCAGGGACCTTATACCCATAATCCCCTTGCAGTCTGTGCGTACCCATAGGGCCACAGGGTCACTTCAGTGTTTCTGATTCATCCTCATCCATCCGAGGAAGCAGCACCCAGGGTCGCCTGCATGGACTTCAGCTGCCACATCTTTTGCTTACTGGATTAGTAGGTGTTATACTGGGATCATATAGGAATTATGTAGGGTTATTTAGGGGGAATGGAGATAGTATTCAGGGTTCAGGTTTAGAGATATGACCCCAAGAATGGAGAATCAAATGGTGAACCAAACGGTAAATGAAGCGGAAATTATTTAGGATATGCCAGTTGGTGATTAGTGAGAACGAAGGAACAGGATAAGGGGACAATTAGAAGGGACCACTTTACCCTAAATAGTAATTTCCGTTTCATTTTTCCATTTGCTTTTCCACCTGGTTCTCCCTATGGAAGTTATAATGGTTTATAATGGTTGTGTATCATCTTTAATCCTATAACACTTTGCCGGGAGGCATGCATGTTGTTTATTGACAAGGCATCCCTGGCAGGTCAACCCCAAGAAGGTTCAGAAGCGCAACCGCGCACGCTGCATTTTCAACACGCTGGCAGCCGGCCAAAGCATTGCCAGGGCGGGGAGAGTTTTGCAAACAGTTTCATCCCAGAATCATACGTAGATTGCAGAGAGTCGCTCTAAAACCAATTCGTAGGTTGTTATGAAAAGCTTCCGCGTGATGGATCTTATTCAGTATTTATGTCATGCTGATTTCTGGGACACACGTGGCTAGGATTTCGCGGCATAGGCACTGCACGGCCAGATGCCCGCAAGTTTGCATTCGCATTGTTTTTGGCGTTGCCTTTGAAAAAAGAAATTTTGAAACCCCCGCTGCATGCTGATTCCAATGCCTTTACCTGAAATTACTTAGTGCAGCTGCAATGAAGGTCAACACCTTAAAAATTGAGCGGATACTTCCAGAAACTTTTGGACCTTCCTTGGCTTAAACACACGAACTCCTTGTTGTTCGGAACACTGGTAGAGGTATCGCGCTTTTGTGAAAGTAGGCTTCTTGCCAGCAAGCCTTTGGAAGCTCCCTGAGATCGCGACCAACATCAAGGCCTCCATCGCAGTCTGCTCTCCAGACGCTCTGGAAATGATTAATTAGGGTCTTAGAAGGAGAGTCCTTTGGCCGGCATGACCCTGTTGCGGACTCATTATGTATTTTCCCCAGGCTATTCAGTTGGTTGTCCTGAAGCAGCTTTCTCTTCGGGGAACTTTATAAGCTGAGAGAAGGAATTGTGCTGGGAAGACCCATGATGCAGTCATACGAAGACAAGTGAAAGGGGCATCGCAAGCAAGAACACTCATTCCAAATGGGAGGCTAGGAATCTGACTAGTGTGCAGTGTTCTACGAACCGCAAAGGTGTGAAGAAGTTTACATGGAGAAGGTCCTTCCAAGCTCGACTAATCTTAATTGTTCCTCCTGCAGGTAATCACGGCTCTGCGATAATGAAAACGCACAAATAAAGTCAACATGCCTCAACAATATGTTATAGCTTCATACAGGAATTTCTTTATTATCACGGGGTTGAGGGGGTTTTGTTGTGAGGGGAGGGGCTTGTGGCAACTCCGTCAGAGCACTTTCTGTGCCCCAACGACTGACAACCGAGGACACCATCTTCAAGTACATTCCGGGAAAGTTTGGAAAACAATTGGTGAAGCTGCGCAAGATCGTCTGTTCTGTCGCTTGCCTGCAAACGTCCTTTCGGAGTTAAACCCTGAACCCTGAAAGGCACTGAACCCTAAATTGGGATGCCTGAAGGTGCCAAAAACAACAGGCCTCTGCGGGGGAATGGGCCATCTTAATTCCGCTACTACTCACCTGCCCTCCTCCCTCATAAACAACCCTAACATAGTGCCATTGCAATAAAGACCGTCCAAACGCAACCCAAGATTTTGAGAAGCCTCCACATCTCAAAGCCTTGACCCTCAAGCTCTGGACCCCTAAACCCTAAGAACATCCTACTTAGCGGGTCAGGGGGATTTCGTAAGTAGGGGAAAAAAAACCCAAGAACCCTTATAGTACCCCTAAGTATCCCCATTATTAACCAAATTACGAAGTCCCCCCGACCCTAAACCCTATAGTTGTTTCCACTTTCTTCTCCATAATTACGAATTCCTCCTGGCCCTCCAAGTAATGTATCAGGTCAACGTTGAGCTTGTCCTCACAGGTTTCCTGGCAGTTGCCGTGGCCTCAGCCCAGCTTGACTACTCATTCGCCCCCGCCCCCAAAAGGGGTTCTACAGGGTACCTTTTTGGGTGGTTTATGGGGGTTATATAGGGGTTTTATAGGTGTTACATGGGGATAACGCAAAAGAAAATGGAAGCTACTATTTATAGGGTTTAGGGTTTGGGGTTTGAGGTTCTACAGGGTGCTGGGAAACAAAATGGCAACTATTTGGTGCCTGGGAGGTAAGTGTTAATCATGTCTTGACTGATGTACTACCGTCAAAAGTAGCCAATAGCCTCATTCAGGGACCCTTAACAATGGACGTAGAGGTCCCGCTTATAGTTTAGGTCACTAATAAGGAACCCATGTCCATTGAACTATGTAGGAAATATTGACTGCAGCTCATACGGCTTTTTCATGGAGAATCAAATCGAAAATTAAATGGGCATTGCGGGGTTGCTGTGTATTTCATTACCAGCCGAGTTACTGCACGTTTCCATGTCATTTTTCCGTTTTTCTTTAAGTTGACCCTCCATTCTATGCCCGTTTTTGCAAATTTGATTTCTCAACACATCAAAGAGGAGTATTGCCAAAAATATTTGGAGGTCCAAGGGAAGTTTGCAAGAATGAGAGAGGTGACCCCCTTTAACCCTTAACCCCCATACCCTATACCTCAAACCCGAAGCCCTGGAGGGGCGAATCCCCATATCTGGGGCCCTAAAGCTAAACCCTGAACCCTGATACCTAAACCCTAAACCGTAAACCTTATCCTTCGAAGCAGAGGGCCTTGATAACTCAAAGCTTTGCGTACTGCTCCTACCTAGGTGGAATTATCAGATAATCTGAATGCATACAGCCGTTACCATTATCCCCTCAGACTGTTACTGAGTGGGGCAGTACCCAGCCTAAACCCTAAACCCCTAATAGTCCCAGTTTCCATTTCAGTTTCATGTTCTTTTCCATGTGATTTTCCATTATTGGGGTCATATCCTTACTGTTGATGGATGAAATCTTGCACCGCCTAGGAGCCTTAAACTACTGTAACTCCTCGGACTTTACGGACTCAAGGTGGTGCAAGATTATCTCCATCAACGGTATGTCTCCCAGCATATACCCAATCAAAACTCAATCTTCTGCCAAGGCTTCGAGCTTGGCAGATGCCAGCATCAGCTGTTCAATTGCTGCGAATTCCTCCACATCTTTGAACCTGAACGAACAGTTTGACTCAGGCTGCGCAAGTGCGCCTTGTCTGCCTGGGGTCAGTGTAGAAATTGAAGTTTGTAAAAACTTCTGTTGGACGGTGCAAACCTGTAGAACCTTTTCCGGCCTATCTCTTGCACTCGGTCTAGGGTGATGCCTGCAGATTCATGACTGCAACCGTTGAAGTGTGTTTCCAAAATTAAGTTACCTTTGTGATAGCTTCAACACCTTAGGGATCCTGATGTCAAGCATTTACCTACATTATCATGCATTCTTGTTTAGCGTGCCTGATAGAACGCGCAGTTTCTGTTTGGAGTGATGAGCCTCCCCCAAACGGTCCACAACCCAGTTGCGCAGATTCGTCCTGGCAATAGTCATTGCAGCGCCTTCTGCTCGTAGTAGCACGAGCAGTAGACGCGGCAGGGCGGCGGTGGCGGCAGGGGTGGCGGTGGTGGCTGTGGCGGTGGCGGTTGGTCTTGGCACTTTCAACTCCAGCGGTCATCCGTATCGCAAGAGAGCATGAACAGCAGTTTCTGCAGCAGTGAAGGGCCTGTGCCAAGCAGAAGCATATCCTTTCCTTGGGGACTGACTCCTCAAACACCATGGCTGCCGTTACTTGAAACTGCACGCTCTTGAGGCAACCTTTCAGATGTCCAATGCGCTGGTTTCTCTTGCAGCCTCCTTTTCGATCCTTGGTGGTTTTGCCAGCCAAGTGTATGCGAGTAGAAGAGGAAGTGGTAGCCCTCGTGATAGTGGCAATAGGGGTGGTAACAGCCACTGGTAGTAAAAGACATGTAGTCGCAGAAAGAGGTGGTAGGCAAGAGTGTGCCTCCGTGAAGGTTGCAGGAAGGAAAGAAGGCGTCAACGTTGGCGTCTGAATACCTGTAGAATCCCAGATTGACGCATCCCATTACTGTCCATAGCAGCAGAACGTAACATTCGGTAGTTGTGAGACGCCTTCACACGATCAGTATCACCAATGAGACCTTGCTGTTGGGCACGTGCAATCAGGAGGATCCGACTTGAGATTAGGGCCGGAATAGGAATCCTCTGTTGGACACAGCCGTGTTGTCGGCACAATCACGAGCGAGACCGCATGTCTGTAAGCTCGAACGTGTTGTGCTCAGGATCGCTATTCCGGGTGGCTGGCCTGAATGCTTATGAGACCTTTCAGACAACGGGGCTTGGCGCCGATACCTAACCTATTCATTCCCTACCCCGACCCCAATCTCTCATCCATACATCTTCCGAAGCCCACTTCCACTCTAAACGCTGTAGTCCCTGAATTCCAAACTTCAAACCCCAAACCCTCCCAAACCCTGCACCGAGGCTGTGAAATCATAGCCAAAGGCCTGGAGAAGACAGTCACTGGAACCCTTGCAGGCCTTGGACAGAATTTTGACTCAACTTGGGGAGGTGTCCAGAGTTTGATTTCTGGAGTTTAGTGTTCTGTTCTTTAGGAAATTCCCATTTGCTTCAGCTCGGCATAGGGCAGGAATTCAAATGTTACTTCAGGGCCCAAAAATGTAGCTGAACTGAGGCCCGCGCTTGTTTTAGCAGTCCTGGCGCGGAGCTTTTCATAATTTCCTCTTGCTGAGTCCAGGTCTTCTGATCAGCATCATCAGCATCATCATGATGATGATTATTGTGGTTGTTCTTAGCATTATTGCTTCTGATTCAGTTTGAGAAATTGTTACATTGTTCCGCTTGCCCTATGCTTTGTCTTTCCGGGCCGTTCAAAATGGGAGTTCTCCCAGTGCCTGGAGTTCCCAGCCACGCCAAGAGTGCCCAGCTGCACCTTCGAGCCCAAACACCCAAAAAAGTGTTCCAGGGTGAGGATGCCTGAAGCGAATCATCATTTTTGCTTGTGCTGTGGACAGCCTGAAGTTGCTTCCTGGATTGGAAGTCCAACGCAGTCGCAGTCTGTCGGACTGGATTGCAGCTTTCTCTCCAATCTGAGATCGTGAGTTTAGGGTCTGGTTCTCTAAATCCTAAATAGTAGTTTCCATTTTCTTTTCCCTATATAATCCCAATATATACCCCATAATCCCTATATAACACCTATATAATCCCTATAGTCTGACTTCATTTCTGTTCCTTCCTTCCTCCTATGGTCCAACAATCAATCAACCTTCAGCTGAGGAAGGGGATCTCTGACTTTGGTTCCAACAAGTTTGTCAGCCCAGGCAGGATGGTAGTGTGAAGCTTCATTCTCCTGGAGGTTTTGGATGTCGGATTCATTGCCTGGGGTTAGGGGTTTAGGGTTTAGGGTTTAGGGTTGAAACCCTAAACCCCAAACTCCAAAGCCTAGCTGAGTATGCTGGCTAGAAATTCCAGCCTTCTGCACTGCGCCTGCATCTGGCTATTTGCAATCAGTTGGATGGAGGACTCCATTTTTCTGCTAGAAAGGATTACGTTTCATGTGCATCCTTTTTTTTGTGGGCATGGTTGTTTGCTTTTTAGAGTTTGGAGTTTTGGGTTTAGGGTGTTTTGCTATTGTTCTTGCCCAGTCACAGTCCAACGTGGGAAGTCTGTTTGTTCATGCTACGGGTATGACGGAGCTACAAGTTGTTTTGGTCCAGGGTCCCATGCTTTTCAGAAGCCCTAAACCCCAAGCCCCTATCCTAACTATGATTTGTACACTGCCGTCAACTCTGCTATGCTTTGAACCTTAGTGTCCCGTGAACCCGGAAATGTGACGCCTGAGCCCGGTGGATTGTTGGTACATGGATTCAAAGGCGAAGTCCGGGCGGCATTGAAAGCCCTGAAGCTCGGCAATCAGATTATGGCTAGATTCCAAAGTTTCAGGGGAGTTACACAAATGTTCTGGGTGCCGACAAAGGATTTCTGGGGCGGGTTAGGCAGGGGTTGCGTGGGAGAACTGAGCTTTTTAGATGTTGGGGATTTGGCTTTGTGCAGAACGTGGGTGTCTCCAAACGGGCACACCATTCTATGGTAGCATCTAGCATACGGGCAACAGTCATGAGTCACGGATAGACAACGATATGAGCGCGAATGCGCGCCATTCTATGGTAGCATATGGGCAATGGTCATGAATAAGATCCGAGAGGGGCATGAATGCTCAAGCAAAAGGGATGTTCGGTTTTCTAGGATGATGTAGCTACTCAAGCCCAATCGAGAAAAACCATAATGTCAAAGACTACACCATCCACTTTTCTGTCTGCCTTCCTACTTGATTTTTTTTGCCAAGGAGGGGCGAGTTGAGTCCTGCCAACTTTTTGTCAGAGACGACCACCTTCGGCCGCAGGCTATTTTTGGGTGGAGGCCTGGCACTGAGGAGTGACATATGGGGGTGGTTACAAGTTTGGGTTATGAAAAATGCGGAAACTCTATTCATTATCAGCCTGGTGAATAGGCAGTAGTAGAAGTTGGAGGAAGCAATCAAGAACAGCAGCAGCATTGGGCTCTTTGTTACGGCTGCCGGATCTTGATGTAAACCTGAGGGTTGAACTGCAGCCAAGGGCACTCGGTCATTGACCTGTAATGCTTGGAAAGGGCCATTAGGCTCAAAGGAGCACACGTTACTTTTGTCTTCGAGACGTCTGCTGAGAACAAGATTGCCAGCTCTCACGAAACCCAACCTGAATGCTAGTTGCCTGAAGGCAAAGATGCCATTACGACCCAGTGTGTGCTCGACATCACGCAGTCTCTCACACAGCTTGGGCTGATGGGTATCGCAATTGATGCCCTCGCAAATGTTCCTTGGTTCAACATGCTGTGGCAGGTGGTGGCAAACTGATTCACTAATATTATCCCAATAAGCTATAGTAGTTTCCTTTTTATTTTACATTATCCCAATATAACCCCAATATACTATGGTAGTTTCCATTTTATTTTCCTCTATTCCAATACACTATAGTAGTTTCAGGCATCGGTGCACTGAGGCAGACTGCAGTAATCCATCTGTGGGAAGCTTCTGGGCTGCATCTGAGCCAAGATCAGAAACTACTATATAGTATATAGGGGTTAAAAATTGGGATAATGGAAAATACAATTGAAACTACTATAGTATATTGGGGTAATATTGAGATGATGGGAAAGAAAATGAAAGCAGTGTTGCTCAAGGAGCCTGATCCAAGTTACTTCGCTGTTGGAGGAGTGACGACAAAAGCCCTGCCGAAGTTCGTTCGCAAACGGCTCGAAAATATACGAAGAGCCCGGGGCTTGGCAAGCGGTTTAGGGTTTAGGGTTTAGGGTTGAGGGTTTAGGGTTTAGGGTTTAGGGGGCAAGCCGTGTAGGTAAGTGTCCCCAACGATGGGGCACCCTCTACCGCCAACCATGTTCTGTAAGGGATTGTGGATATGTGGCAACCCCCATGTGCTCTTATCCCACTATAACACCAAAATACTAAAGTTGGTTCAATTTGATTTTCCATTATCCCAATTTTTTAACCCCAATATACTATATAGTAGTTTCTGCGAGAGACATCAAGAGCAAACCAAGCCGGGCTTCTCAGCTATATCTCTCTGAAGAGAGCAGCAGGCCTGATAGTAATGGCCGGAGTTGCTGTGACGGTGGCAGAGGTGGTGGTGGTGGTGGTGGTGGTGGTGGTGGTGGTGGTGGTGGTAGAAATACTGATCCTACCTTCGATTTTGACAAAAGTCACAGTAGTTGTATAGTCCTCCTTAAGTAGATAGAGTATGGAGTAAATGGGGTTCTTATCATTTTATACCCAAAGCCATATTCTATCTACTTAAGGGGGTCTATAGAGCAAAGCTGAGGCCAGCTGTGGCGCAGGCATCACTCAGGTCATTGCTCAATTGGGCTTGGTGCTCAGAAAGTCCCAGTTCATAGGCTTGTATGTTTGCATAAGCGTAGGTACATACTCGCGCGGATACATGGATGTATTTGTCAACGGTTGTGTTGGTCCTGTCATCATACTATGGCTTTTTCCTACCTCCGCACTCATATACACACATATATATATATAGAGACATTTTTGTCTTTGGGGGCGAGTGTGGCAACCGACATTGAGCAACGCCCACCGTATTCTTCGGTGACAAGCGTCACCATCGTCGCGATTGGGGTTTATGCGCATCAAAGCATTGTTGGCCATAGTGGCCATAGATGAGATTTTCCCATAGCCAGCTAACGGCATGTTGACTTCAATTGCAATCTGAATATTGATCCCCAGGTCTTGAACACAAATCCCAAAACCCTAATCCTAAATAGCAGTTTGTATTTCTTTGCCATTCTACTCTGTAATCCTTGCAAATTCAAGGGATTATTTTGTAGGTAATTCTATCCTAAGCCCGAAGCCCTAAACCTTATTGGTAATGTAGACCCCTGATTAATAAATCCCCTCCCCTTCATAGGATTACAATAAGGATCCTACTATTAAGGCCCTTGAAAGGATGGGATCTAGTAATCAGGGGTCTACATAACCCTAAGTAGTAGTTTCGATTTTCTTTTCCATTTTCCCGTATATCCTCCTTATCCCCTAAACCCTACACCCCAAACCCTAAACCCTATGTACGCACCCCTATATAGCACCTACTGATTATAGATATTCTCCGAGTCCCCAGGACTCGTGACGGTGTTCTTGTCCTTCACCTCGCCACCGGGCCGATGAGAAGTCGGGTATAGGGTTGATGTAGGGGTTTAGGGTTTAAGGGTACAGGGTTTAGGCTTAGGCGTGCCACGCTGTGTGAGCGCGGGTTAGTCTGCAGACTTGGCCCACCCCAAGACCACCCATTTACTACTCTCAGGGGTAAGTATTGCTCTTCAAAGTTGCTTAGTTGCCAATCCCCGTACCGAAACGCATCAAAAATACTTTCGGGTTTTCGCTCAAGACCTTCATAGATTCATCTCGCGGCGGCTCATGTGGGCCACCAGATCTGGTTGGGTATTTTGCCAAAATGAAATATAAAGATTTGCGTTTGGGGACCTTCCCTTCGGCCATGCCGGCGAGAAGCTCTACGACACCGGGGACGGGACTGGGAGCGAGTAGAAAAGCTTGACATGAGGCTGGGAGACATGTGAGGCGAGGCCATGTGCTCCTGCTAGACCATGTTGCTGAATGAGTCCAAGCAAAATTCACGGCCGACGTGAGGGGGTGGTTTGGCTCACGTGGTACAGAGCACCATGCTTACGTAGATCTGGTTGAACGCGCAATTCTCAAAAAAACTGTTGGGCTTGCGCTTGGGCACGTCTGGGAAGAAGGGCCTGCTCATGGATTTAGCTCGCTCTGAGTCCGCCAGATGGCTGGGTTAAAGAGCAGCATAGCCTGGAGATGGCGTGAGGGCTTGGAGGCCTTGGCTGCTAGGAGGGAAGCCGGAGGCTCCCTGCAGGCACCTGGAGGCACCTGGAGGCCCCTTCTATCTGGGAGGCATTCTCCCACTGTCAAGCACCACAAGACGGATACAAACCAGGATACTGTGGAATAAATCTATTCAGGGATAATTTGCTGACTCGGCCTTGCCTGGAGGGGGAGCTAGCCTGGAGGCCCGCTCAGTCGCTTAGTGGCATACCTATACTGTTGGGTTACCCTGAACCCTAAACCCTAAGCCCTAAAACGTGGTAAGGGATTTAACTTCTCCCTCGTGGATCCTTAGAAAGTAAGTAGAGGGGTTCGAATCTGTAGGTCATGTCTCCCGGTATATGTGGGCTTCTGTGCGGATTGTTTACAATTGGTGGGGCTGGCAGTGCTGGCAGTGCTGGCAGTACTGGCGGGAAGTGATGAACCTTGCTTTGAAGACCCGTACTCTTTGTTCCGAAGCCTTGTGATGAATGCCAAGCCGTGGGAGGTTTCACTGCACCAACGTAGCCAACATCGGGGCAATCTGCGGTGCTGGTGTTGCAGGCCAGGAGACATGCTTTTAGACACAGTTCCGAGTACTCAGCTCTAACCATCAAGAAGCTATGTTTTCACAGGAAAGCCAAACATTCTCTCATCAGCGTTCCTCTTGTTGGTCTTAGTTGTAGCATGATTGCCGCAAAGTTAATCTTTACGAAGCCGTTGGGCATTATGCAACTAAATAGACTGTTTTGGCCATGAACGCAGGCGCTACCGGAGCTTTGTCGGGAATCGCAGCAGCCGGGATGGGTGCCTACATCGCTTGCAAGGAGGGACAGCGGCTGGGCCTTTCAACCAAGCTGCGAGGGAGGGACGATTGAATTCTCTTGTCTTCTCACAGACTTTGGAAGCCAGCAGAAGAGATTGAAACCCCGAGCCCCAACCCTCAGCCCTAAACTCTGAATCCTGAGCCCTGAACTGAACCGCATTCTGACCCGAGGCGGACGAACGCCACCGCGGCTTTGGTCGAAAAGTTTGCAGCGGATTTCGTGGCCCAGGCTGTGGGCAGACAGGGTTAGATGACTACTCACTCCAAGAGCTCCCCAAAACTCAGGTCCCCTTGCACATTGCATTAGAATTTGCAGGGCTTGGATATGACATGTGTTTTTGGGTTGTGCAATTGCGTGGTCCCATGATTTTCCACCAGTTTTTCAGTGCTGGCCTTGTCCTTTGAGGAAGCCGAAGACATTGTGCAGGCCTCATGTCTGTGGCTCAGAGGGTTTATAGTAATGATAGTAACTGTAATAAAAGTAACAATAGTACTACGTAATAGTAAGAGTTTTAAGGGCTACGGTTTAATATTTAGGTAGGGTTTCAGTATTTAAGGTCTTACTATTCGGGGCTTAGATATCACTGTGCCGAGTTGTGCATTTCTGGCAATATTCTTATACAGTTCTCAGGCGCGCTCTCAATGAAGGGCCCCGACAACGTAGTAGTTTCCCAAAATAGGGGGGCCCTAATATAGACCCTGAAATATTGTAAGCCTCATTGAGGGGACCCCCCAAACTGGTACCCCTAATCTTTGGGGAACCCCACCTATCAATGTCAGCAAAACATAGGCTTGAACGGCGTTGCAGTTTACATCTGCATCTAGGAGCTTGGTAATATGAGTAATAATAGTAACTGTAGTAACAATGATTAGTACTAGTAATCGTAATAGTAATAACAACAATATGTACGAGTACTAGTAATTAAGATGCTTCCCGCTGCGACCCAGGCCCTTATCTCTCACTGGACTGCTTCCTGGAATTCACGACCTTCTTTTCGAACTGCCCACCCGGTGCGACGACACCAGGCACCCAGAGCAAAGTGGCTCTGTCTCAGAACATATTCGATCTACTTAAGGGGGACTATACTCTGATATTGGATGGGGGCTGGCCAAATGGTGGCCTCTTTCTTGGCCTCCTTACAGTTGAGTCCAAAGAGTTTCCAAGATTGCTTCATGCTGCTTGAACGACTCTTAAACCCTAAACCCTAACCCCAATATAATACCCAATATAATCCCTATAATAGTATAGTAGTTTCCATTTTATTTTCCATTATCCCTATATTATATACCCCTATAGAATCCCTATAATAATAGAGTAGTTTCATTTTCTTTTCCATTACCCCAAAATAACTATATGATATATTCCCCTATTCCCTATTATAACCCTAATATG